CGATTCTCCGGCCCATCTCACGCTCCATTGTTCCCTCACTCGAGAACAAGACCCCGAGATACTTGAACTCCTTCACTTGGGGTGCAGCATTTCGATTAACTGAAATAATCTGTATTTGAACTGTACTGTACTAGCACCTAAGCAGCCAGTTTGACATTAGGACTTGCTTGTCATTGTATTTTCATGTTTTTTTTAAAGAAAGATGAACTTGTCCACCTTAGGCGCATTCACACCGCAGTACTTTTCCCACAAAGGTTCATGAGAACTTAGTTCATGAGAACTCTTTAGTTCTCATGAACTAAATACAGATCGCGTTCACACCGGAATAAGTCCCTGGGGGTGGATTAGGCAAATTAAGCCGCTGACGTCACTTCTTCTTCTTCTGCTTTGGGTTTACTGGCAGGCCGCAAACCAGTTCACGGCGTATACTGCCGCCCAAAGTCCCCGGCCGGAAGTCCCCGGAGTTAGGGACTGGCTTCAGTAGAAGCTGCTGGGACTCCCAGCAGCTTCTACTGAAGCCTTCCGAGTAAATTGCCAGAACGCCGACACCTCCTCATCTCCACCACTCCCATGTTTTATTTTGTGTTGCCATAAATTAGCCTCTCTGCGTTTCTGCGCTGGGCTAATGCTAATAATGCTAATGCGAGGATAATAAAATGGCGGCTTCACAAAACTTTTTGGGAGTTTTACGGGGTGTGGTTTGCAATCCTTCCAGCCAATCAGAAATATAGCTCTTTTCTCACAAAAGAGCCGCTCGAAAGTCCCTGCTCTCTAGCAGGGACTTTCGAGGGGGTAAAAAGGTTCTCATGAACTAATTTTAGTACCGGCTCTTTTTGGTGTGAACGCGATGAAAGAGTTCTCATGAACTAAGATCGCATGAACCTTTGTGGGAAAAGTACCGCGGTGTGAATGCGCCTATTGCTTGCCGAAAGGGCAGATCTGCTGGCACTAACAATGTCTCCTGCTGTGGAGAACACCCTCTCTAGGGACAGAGGTAGCAGAAACAGCCAGGTAGCGCTTTGCTAACATGGCAACATAAGGATATTTGGCGTTTGTAATAGCTTTGGCTCGGTCTGAACTTTTTGCGATTGGTGGAGGCTTAAATGCTAGCGGGAGTTGGGTTTGCACTTCAGTCATTTTTCTTTTGGTACCGGTGATATTCACGTTCGGGTGATGCCTTTTCAAGAGTGTGCAAGTTTGATGTATTGCCAGCCACGTAACCAATTTTAGTTGAACAATGCCGACAAACAGCTTTGGTTCGGTCCACCTGTCTTTGTCCGTCATTCTTGAACGTAACTGCGAAACCAAAATGTTCCCAAACCGGAGACTTCAATGATGCTGGAGGATTTTCGAGCTCAACTTTATCTGCGTTCGCCATTAATTTTCGACAGTTCCTCAAATTACTGACTAAATTTGAACGCATCCCTCTGACCAGCTCTCATAGTATGCCTCTCGTCCAATGAAATGACTTGCTCGCTCTATGACGCGTTGAACCCAATGTGAGCAAATTACTCTGAATGCTGCGACGCAGCACCTGAGATTACTTCCAAGAAGTTGTTCACGTTCTCAATTTTTTACGTTTAACGTTATATTCGTTCGGTACACTTCGGTACACACGTGTACCGAACCGAAGGGCCCGTACCGAATAATTTCGGTACGGGTACGTGTACCGTTACACCCCTACCAACAACTCAACACAACAACGCAAACTACGACAACAACCCACACATTGCACATTGTTTGGAGCGGTTATAAAGTGTTGAATCGCTCAAATTCGAAACTGTTTCAACCTGTCAGAATAGAGACGAGGCAGTGCATTGAATCACCTGATTGGACGGCGAACCAGTGAGTTGATTCATTCAGGAAATTAAGCAGTTGCTGGTTCGGAGGTCACATGTCACGTGATTGGAAGCATGCTTCGAAGCACTGCTTCTATGGAATAGAAGAAGTCCAGGGTTGAAGCTCCGTTCGAAGCTTCAGTGTCAAACTGCCATCACTACAGCAGGGACTAGTGCCCTGCATAGAGGTCACAGCATTATATAATATAATCCATATTATCCCGTCCTCAAGCCTGAAGTGATTATTCTGGGTCAGAAAAGAGCTCACCAAAACTCCATCGCCTCATTTTCAGATACGAAATGAAGATCTGAAGTTAAGGCTCTCTCGTTGGGCGGTGCATTGACTCATCCCTCAGCACCCTGAAGCAGATATTCCCTTATCTTTTGTGACTTAATAAACAGTCATTAACGGTAAATTATGATACATCTCAAAGGGTTTCTAAAGCCTGCCGACTTCAAAGAGACGGTGCCTTTTCAGCGAGAGGCTTTGATGTAATGTGCATGCAAGGAAGTCTGAAATCTGTCACAGGATTACGGAGCAAAGGAGCATTACTTTTATATTTAGATCCTGCACAAACTTATATCTGTGGAGGAAATTAAATTAAGTAGATAGCATTTGGTGGTAAAATTGTTTTATTGCCGTTCACTGTATAATCAGCATTTAATGATTTATTTCTTACTTTTTCCTTTCCTATGAAAACATGAACAACAGGTGGAGCTAAAGTACATTTTACAGCTTTGACGGCGTGGAGAAAGTTCAGAGGGCAAGTTAAATGTGTGAGGAATGAGAGCTATATGTATCCACAGCTGTCCCCTCACACTCTGTCTAAACTGAGAGTGTGTGAGCCTCTTCTTGGCAAGAGCTCAAATATTTAATCTGTGAGTCGGGGTGTGAAGTAATCAATGTAGTACAATAGAGTCTCTTTATCACTGCTTCTCGTCTTTGTTTCGCTGAGTGCTTCTCCATTAATCAATAGATGTTTGAATTTGCCTCCTCATTATTATGGAGATACTGAAAGATGGCAAAGTTCAAACCCAGGCACCTTTCACTTTTCTTTTGGTATTTCAGGAACGCCTGAAGGGAATGTCTTCAAATGTGTCAGAAATGTTGACTTGGACTCATGGTTGAACTGTTTTAATTTTGGTGGTCAAAGGTCACTATAACCTAATGACCCTCCCATTCCTGAGAATGCCCATTTTTTCGAACTGCCTCGAAGAAATGTATTCATTGACTCAAGGATTAACCCATTACACTTTGATGGTCAAAGGTTAATGTGGTCTCAAGTCCATGCCATTCTCACAAATAGGATATCTCAAGAATGCCTAACAGGACTTTCTGTAAAATTGGCACAAATGACACCTATACTCAAGAAATAACTGACAAGTCTTTGATGGTAAAAAGTCACTATGACATCCCGAGAACGCGATATCTCAAATATGCCTTGAGGAATGTTATCAGCTTTTCCGATATTTGGTCACACGAAAATCATGCTTGTTGATTGAATTTTAAAGAATAACCAAAACCACGACAAAATCATCTTAAGGGAGACATAAATATCTGAACCAAATGTAATTGCAATCCATCCATTGCTTCTCTAAACCACAAATGTCCACTTCATGGTGTAGCGGGGGCGGTGGTGGCGAAGTCGATAGGGACTTGGCTTGGCAACTGGAAGGTCACCAGTTTAAGTCCCGGCAAGACCAAGTGCTACCGAGGTGTCCCTGAGCAAGGCACCGTTCCCTACACTGCTCCCCGGGGCGCCGTTCAAAATGGCAGCACACTGCTCCTAACACAGGATGGGTCAAATGCAGAGAAACAATTTCCCCACGGGGATTAATAAAGTATATAAAAAAAAAAGCAAAAACAAAAAGAGTGAGGAAAAAAACATAAAATCCAGTAAGATGTTTCCTCTGGGAGACATGAGACATTTTAAAGATTATACAATCAGTATTTGTTGATAAGATATTGGACCAAAGTGATGGACAACCCCAGTGCCACACCCCTAGCATGGCTAAAAATATAAAATAACTCCATCCTGTTTCGGTCTCACATGCTTGAGGCAAGTGACCAATGAGGGGAAAGTTGACTGAAAAATCAACACATTTTTAACCACCAAGTAAAATGAAGATACCAATTTGATATACTAGGGGAAGCTAACAAAAGTGGCCCCTTATCTCGCATAGAATGGCAGTGAAGGGAAAGTGAATGGTAATTGAATTAATGTGTAATCGTGCACTTATTATATATGTTCTTGAACTTGTATGTCTGTGAGGGCCTAAGATATTCTACAAAATAATATTTCAAAACATTAAAAAATATATATAGGCTATATATATATTTTTTTAAATATATTTTTTTAGTTATATTTTTCATTAGTTTTACCAAAAATAACTTGATTTAATTGTATTTAAAATAACATTTCCAAAGAAATAAATCCTTCGAATCTGCCTATTCAGTTTCTGTTGGAATGTGAAGGGTTAAATAAAAGAAGCTCGTCTCTGCGAGTTACTGTGAAGATAGGAGCTGTTGGACGTCCAGGCGGTCCAGCTATGAATTCACAGAGGGCCCAGCTATAGTAACTGAACGAGAGAGTAATGTCAAATGACAGTACAATTGACCAATCATATCTTCCCTCTAAATGGGTGGGTGTTATTATCGCGGACTTTATGACAAGTTCCGCCCGCTGTGAAACTGTTCTTGTTTCCATAACAACAACAACTTCCTGTCAATAGCGTTAACTCGCCTTCAAAATAAAAGCATGCCAAATTAGACTTAAGACATACAACTGCAACGAAAGTAACAAACACAATGCAATATCCTTTTCAATTTCAAAGAACACAAATAGGGTTATTTACAGGTGTTGTTTTGTGTGGTAGAGGGTCGCTTTCATTGATGCGTTTTGCACCCCGGGCCGTTGTTTTGATATTCCGCTGAAGTATACGCTGTGACGTAATAACTCGACGGAAGGGGTGGGGGTCAGATGGCCTAGGTATAAAATTCACGGCTCGCCACTGCTTGATCTGCACTGCCTGAAGTAAGTCTGAAAAAAGCATTAACTTTCTGGTTTAGTAATCACTGATCTATGAAATAAAAGGTTGGAGGGCCTGAGTGGATCCTGCTTGACCTCTCTAATTTAAAATCTACAAACACAAGTTACTAATTTCACCACAGAGAGAAAAAGGCCTGCCTCACAGCTTACATTAACCGTAAAGATTAGAGTCATGCATACAATGTGCTGCGTCACTAAAGTATTTCTCTCGGCATCCCAGCTGTTTCTCCTCGCTTAAATCTGGCGGTTACTTCGCCTAAAAATATCCCCCCTCTCTCCGTCTTTTCTCAGAACCCTGCCCTCATACACAACAAGTTCTTATCTTCAGGGACCATGACTGCAGAGGGGTGTTACTGCTGAAGAATAAGAGTAAACGTCGGGTGTAACCCACCACTACAAGTACAGAATTCTATGGATCAAGATCTGTCTGTTGTTAGCTAAAGACACAGTGGTTTTAGTTCAGATTAACCTGCCTTTTTCGGGACTAATTTAAAGGAGGACTTCTTATAAATGTGTGGTAAGTAATTTCATAGATAATTATCTTTCTGTGTGTGTCACTTTAGCAATAAACTCATTCCTTACCACCTAAAGGATTTCTATGGAAACCCATTTGGAAAAAGTTAGGGTAAAACGTTTTTGTGAATACACCTTCACTCAGCTACCATTTGTTGAGGTGATTGTTATGTCTGTACAATAAATATACTACAGCCAACAGCTTATTAGCTTATAGCATAAAACTGGTGGAAACAGATAGCCTGTCCGGTTAAGAAAATCTGCCTACAATATACAAGGTAACTGCATGTGATTTACTGAACACTCTTTTCTTGTCAAGGCTGTAAAAAACCTTGGGTTGTGATATTTTGTATCCATTGTAATCTCTTATTTCCAGCTGTTTCATGTTAAAAATTGACCACTGTTGTGTCCCACCCTCATATCTCATCATGTGTTATGACTTCTGCTCACTAGCCAACGCAGTCTTCTGGGTGGGTCACTTTATTATGACTCTGATTTACTCTCAAGTTGTTTTGTATGTATGTTGCATTTGATGAACAGAGCTAAGATAGTCTATCCTGTTGGAGGGAATCTTTAAAGACCTAGCTCCAGTGTCCGTCTGCTGAGAAAAACTGCAACAAGACTAGTGGTGTTGACAGAAAAGGACATTTAGACATGAGTTGGGGATTATCTGGCATCACATTGCTGCAGGGCTTGCTTTTTTTTAACAAACCACACATAACAACCCACTTTATCTATGTACTCCTGTGCTGCATCGTGCACATTTTAACACTAACACAAACAGTGTTCAACACATTTCTGCTTTCTCCAAACACACAACGCCTTGGGGCAAGTGCATTGCTAGCGGCAGAGACAAACCATTTCTATTGCAGTGTCATAAAAATACAACAACCCTTTCTGATGCCTACATGTGAGGCAGTTTGTCACTTTTGTATTTAAAGCTATTTCAAGGAAATGTCTTTTTGTGTTGATTTTGGCCAGTCCTGTGGACAAAAGTGGTAGTGTTACCTTGTAAAGAACACTGCATTTCTCGTTAGCATCAACACTAAGTGAACTCAATACTTTTTCAATTTGAAACTGAGCTGTTTGCAGGTTGCTTAGCTATTCAAACAACCCAGTCTCACGGCATTTCGTGTTATAGTCACGAAATGTAATCTATTGATTCGTGTTCACCAACACGATTTTCCCATTTATTTCGTGTCACACAGAACGATTTTAAAAGCAATGTATTTCTATTGGTAGTACGTTTCGTGCCTGCACCAAATAATAACAAATTAGAAGGAAAAAAATATTTGAAAAATACAGATTTCAGTATTCTGAGGCTCTGAGCCATTTATTTTTCCTCGAGGACGGCAAAAAAAGTCAGACATTGTACAATTTAAAATAAAAACAATAATTGTGGCTTGTTATTGAGTAAGAACATGTTTTTATGAACCATAGCTTCCAAGACCCGACCCGACAAAAAGACGTGGTGCAGACACGAAACATACTACCAATAGAAATACATTGCTTTTAAAATCATTCTGTGTGACATGACACGAAAAAAATGGGAAAATCGTGTTGGTGAAGACAAAACTATAACACGAAATGCCGTGAGACTGGGTTGATTCAAAATACTATCTGTTAAATGGTGCATGTTGATTGTCATGCTCATTACAACAGAATGTGTTTTGGTGCAAGGTTTGCACTGTTTTACTATCGCTCCTGATATTCTACCATTTCTCACCCATTTAACTTCTGGTCACTTTCCAAACAGTCTCAAGGAGGCAAGAGTAAACCCTCTCCTAAAGAAACCCACTCTCAACCCGTCTGATGTTATAAACTACAGGCCTGTCTCTCTCCTCCCGTTCCTGTCCAAATCACTTGAACGCGCTGTCTTTAAACAACCCTCCTGTTATCTCAATCAGAACAACCTTCTGGATCCGCACCAGTCTGGTTTCAAGGCAGGTCACTCCACAGAAACTGCTCTCATTGCTGTCACGGAGGAACTGCACACTGCCAAAGCAGCATCCCTCTCCTCTGTCATCATCCTATTGGACCTGTCTGCTGCATTCAACACGGTGAATCATCAGATCCTCCTTCGCACTCTCCAAAAACTTGGAGTTTCAGGCTCTGCACTTTCCCTCCTCACCTCATACCTGAAAGACCGTACCTACAGGGTGACTTGGAGAGGGTCTGAGTCCGACCCTTGTCAATTAACTACGGGGGTCCCTCAGGGCTCTGTTCTTGGTCCCCTCCTCTTCTCCCTGTACACAAACTCGCTCGGATCAGTCATTAGCCCGCATGGTTTTTCATACCACTGCTACGCTGACGACACCCAATTAATTCTGTCCTTTCCCCGCTCAGAGACCCAGGTCGTCGCACGCATCTCTGCTTGTCTAGCTGACATCTCTCAGTGGATGTCTGCTCATCACCTCAAGTTCAACCTTGACAAGACTGAGCTGCTCTTCCTCCCGGGAAAAGATTGTCCCACTCTTGACCTAACAATCAACATCGGCACCTCAGTTGTTTCCCCGACTCAGACTGCAAGGAATCTGGGTGTGACCCTAAATAACAACCTGTCCTTCACTGCAAACATCGCTGCTACAACCCGTTGCTGCAGATACACGCTTTATAACATCAGGAAGATACGTCCCCAGCTGACTCAGAAAGCGACTCAGGTTCTGGTCCAGGCTCTCGTCATCTCACGCCTAGACTACTGCAACTCCCTCCTGGCTGGTCTACCTGCATGTGCCATCCGACCTCTGCAGCTCATCCAGAATACAGCGGCTCGTCTGGTCTTCAACCTTCCTAAATTCTCCCACACCACTCCGCTCCTCCGCTCCCTTCACTGGCTTCCGGTAACTGCTAGAATCCACTTCAAGACACTGGTACTTGCTTACCATGCTGCGAATGGATCTGGCCCTTCCTACATCCAGGACATGGTTAAACCGTACACCCCAGCGCGTGCACTACGCTCTGCATCAGCCAAACGACTCGTTGCGCCCTCGCTGCGAGGGGGACCCAAGTTCCCATCGGCGAAAACACGTGGGTTTGCTGTCCTGGCTCCAAGATGGTGGAATGAGCTCCCCATTGACATCAGGACGGCAGATAGCTCGCACATCTTCCGGCGCAGACTGAAAACTCATCTCTTTCGACTCCACTTCGAGCGTTAGAACTATTAACGAAGCACTTTTATACTAATAAAGGACTGGCTTACCTAAAGCCAGTTGAGTAGCACTTGAAATGTTTGGCTCTATGAAACCTGATGTACTTATATGATTCTGTTTTCTTCAAGGTTGTGTCTTCCTGGTCGAATGTACTTATTGTAAGTCGCTTTGGATAAAAGCGTCAGCTAAATGCAATGTAATGTAATGTTTGTTCGGCAAATGCAGCTACGTTAGCTACAAAACTAGCATGTCCACTACTGTCTCTGTTTTCCCCCGATACCTCACAACAATAATAGAGCCCAGTATGCACACGATACATATCTGTTTTTGGAGAGTAGGATCAATCAAGAGTTTGGGGTTTCAAATGTGTGGAAATAGAAAAGGCCATGTCAGGTTTCAGGTTGTCACTCCTACTCATAACCAGCCATGAGTGACAGATTGTGTGTTAGCTCCAGGATCAGGGGTTTCACAGACACCTTTTTACTGTCACTTTCACTCTGACAACAGCAGCCTTACTCATCACCACAGGCCTTATTTGGTCTGTGGAGAAGACAAAATGGCAGAGGAGCTTGAGGTGCATCGTGTTTGTTGTCATGTCTCTGTTTTCTGTGGTGGACTGGACGCTAGTAGGGATTGTACAATCTTAGCTAGCATCCATAACAAGGCTCAGCCGGTCTGTTTCTCATGCTGAAGCAGAGCATACAGTAGGCTATGGGGCTGTAGTGTGTGTGATATTCTAAATCCAAAGCATTTAGAGGACAGTGCCTTCTTAATTCTTCAAGAAACGCAGTTTAGAAATGGATAAAACAGTATATTTATGTGCTACGATGTTAGCTGAAACCATTACCATGTTTGGCTAACTAGCTCTATGCTATCAGGCTAACATTAGCCGCTCTTTCCTTATATTATATTGGGGGTAAAGTTAACTCTCAGGCTGCTAAAAGCCAACATTACCGAAGAAAGTAATACATTTGACAAACACTCAAGTTAATCCACACACTAAAAGAGGTTTTTGGTATAGTTGAAACTAGAAATAAACCTTTTAAAATACTAAGTATGTAAGCTAGTGGGGAAATGATGGACCTATTAGCTTTAGTCTTTTAACATGATATCTTGTTTACCTCGGGCTAAAGTAAAGACCAATAGTTTTAAAAATGATGGTGGTTAATCTGACCCTGATATTATGTGAAACTGTTTATAGACTAGTACAGTATACTGTGTTGCCTGCGTGAACTGAACACAAACTGAGGAAAGAGACTCACTGGGTTTAATGATTAATGGAGACTGCTGAGATAAAATCCTGAAACATTTACTTTTCTCACTGACCTTTAGGCTGAACTTTTTCTTGCTTTTCTTTTGTCTCATAGAGGCAGCACTACGTGGCTCAGTGAAACACCGCTACGAACGGAAGCAGACGATCACTAAACAGCGTGAGACACATTTTAACAGCTTAATTCAATCACAATTTTTCAATATCAATATACAGACATTCATGATAAAGAGGACTGAAACACTTGTGGTTTTAAGTCTATTTATTCTGCCCTCTGCTGGCACGTAGATACTGGATGCAAGGTTTCACGTCTAAAGATATAATGTGCCATGAAGCAGGCAGTACAGTATTTTCGTCACAGTTAAACTTCTATCTTGACCATGACGAGATAAAATAGGAGGCAGCCATGTGACAGCTAATGTGATGGATTATACCCAAGGACACACACACACACAAACACACACACACACACACACACACACACACACACACACACACACACACACACACACACACACACACACACATACACTACTCCCAATGTCTCTTTTCTCTTGCTCCACTGCTCTGATTTAGTTATGTTATGGGCTGTAATTGGGATTTTTTTGTGTGTTAACGAATATAATTTCTGTGCCAATGTGTCAGGGAGAAAAACAGAAGCCAAAAGAACCCTGAGGAAGAAGTCTTCCAAGAAATAAAGAAGGGATCTGTAAACTGTAAAGCCACAACACACAGCCACAATCAGGTGAGATACAGTAAGCAGATGTTTCTAATACCCAGGTTTACCTCAAAAAACGACATTTGAAAACTAGGAGATGTATATATTCAGTCCAAATTCATAAACTTCCCTTAGTGCACTGCCATGTTGTATATTATAAAGAAAAAAGAGAGACTTAGGGTGTTGTAGTTGCTCAGGATATGTGTCCCGTTTAAAGAAAGACCTTTCCAGTTGTGTTTATTTATTTAGGCTGTGGTCTGGAACAATGATACAAACAAAGGAAATTATATTAATAATTAATAAAACAGAGGAAATACAATCAACCAAATAATCATATACAGACAAAGACTGTTATTATAAATGAAATTATATCAACAGCCAATTTACGGAAATTAAAGTGCACCTATCATGCTATTTTTAGGCAATAGCATAAGTCTCAGATATATTAAAATATATAAAAAACATGTCTATGAAGTGTTTTGCTCAAAATACCAAACAGATCACCCTTCCTGTTTCAAAAGTGCTGATTTGGGGTTTAGAGCTTTAAAAAAAAAAAAATGATAAAAAAGGAGGGGTTGAGCTCATGCAGCTACTGTCTAAACTAAATACTGCTGTGATGAAACGCCATATCACAGACCTGTTTTTCTGCTGCCTCGTTTCACAAACATCTTCCCGGGGGCATGCTCCCCCGGGAAGATGTTTTTTAAATGTTGAAGTGAAATGCATCAATCTGGTGCACTTTGAGCACAAAATGGATTTATGGGTTCAGCTCTCAACAAATAGTTAAAGGTGTTTCTCTCTCTCTCTCTCTCTCTCTCTCTCTCTCTCTCTCTCTCTCTCTCTCTCTCTCTCTCTCTCTCGCTCTCTCTCTCTCTCTTCT